GTGGCTTAATGATTTTACGAATAATGATATAATTGACATTATAAATTTAATTCAGCAATAAATATATATTTAAAATTGCATTAAAAATATAGAGGGTAAAATTGACATTACATTAATAATATATAATGGCCGATTTTTTGAAAATATTAATTATACGAAGGGTATTTACGACAATACGTAAATGAGGAAAAAATGGATTTTTTGGCAGGGACACATGGCGCAATATAAATGGGGTATCTCATAAAAGTTTAGAACATGGGATCTCACCCTAGAAAGACCCTATTTTATAGTTTCGACTAAACACATTCTTCTCCTATAGACTTAATTATTATTTTACCCTTAGACCGGTTCATTGCAGTTGGAATTGACAAAGATGTTGAGAAGCTGTTGAGCGATTACGATTTGAAGGTGACGTGACCTACGGATGGAGACGAAGGTGACGAAGGTCCGGTTCATTGGAGTTGGAATTGACAAAGATGTTGAGAAGCTGTTGAGCGATTACGATTTGAAGGTGACATGACAAATGGAGACGAAAGTGACGAAGGTCGTGACCTACAGACATGGGCTGCGAAAGAGATGGAGGCTAAGGTGGTTCATTATACTAGGTTGAAAGGATTGGTCAAATATGATGCTAAATTAAATTATAGCTCAACTATTGTAATATTTATAATTATTATTTTATAATATCGATCAAACACATTCTTATTCTAAATACTTGGTGGCCACGATTTACCAATGAACTAGGCCATATTTATATAAGAACAAATTCCTAATGGACTGTCAGAATCACTGGCAAAATCAATGTGATCCTACAGTCTATATTGATTATCTATGTAGTTATTCACAAAGGAACATTCTAGAACTATTCTAAAATATTATAAAAAAAACATACACTATTCCATGAACATCTTAGAATATGTATATTGATTATCTATGTAGTTATTCACAAAGGAACATTCTAGAACTATTCTAAAATATTATAAAAAAAAACTATTCCATGAACATCTTAGAATATGTATTAAGTGTAGAGAGAATTAGAGAAGCCTTTTAGAGATTGGCTCGGACTTGAGCTTTGATTTAGTCGTGGGCTATCTCAGCAGTCTAAGAATCTAATTTTATAGATACAATAGCGTTTTGAAAAGTATATTAAAGTTCTTCTAGATAGTTCTAACAAAATGACTAAAAAAACCTTTTATTAATTGTTTCATTATTAATTCTCTTAAGAATAGTAAAGACAAAATTGAGAAAAAAATCCAAAAAAATTGACAAATAAAATGGAAAGGAGGGGTAGTCAAGTGTGATGGTTAAGGACCACATTTGCCCTTGATAATTTAAATAAAAAAAAAATTAGTGAAATAAATTACTGACGGACAATTTATTAAGATTCTCAAACACAATTCGAAGAATGTGCGAAAACGCATGCAGATGCGAAGTGGAATTAAGCCTGGATTATCTAGACAACAACAAAATGAACAGAATCTGGCAGTTTAGGTCGAAACCAGTGCCGGAGACGAGCTCTCGCCCTACGCCGGCTTCTGGCATTTTGGTTGGGGCTAGTTTCCATGACAAGCTCTTCAAGTGCCGTAGTATCTTTTCCATTTCCAACAATGTACGACCCGAATTCCAATTCACCCGAGCACCCTATCAGCCCCGAGAGTTTCACCCTTTTCAAATCACGACTCCATCTCCTCTTGATCGGGTTCTCAATATATTTCTCATCACTCCTTTCACACAAGAATCCAGTCTCCCATATAAACTGCAAAATCATATATCATCTATATAAATGATATTCTACCCGATCGAGTTGATTATTTCGACTGTATATACGTATGTATTACTGTGTAAAAAGACGTATGTACGTCGTACCCGAATCTCAAGTTTCTGTAAGCAAGGACAAGCCTCGATGAAATGAATGAGTTTATGAATTCTGTAATAACTATATAACAGAAATTCAAACTCCAAATGTTGAAGCTTTACCAGTTTACGGAACCGTAACATGTTGTCCATATAATCGTGTACCTGGAATAATAAAAAACACAAATTGTAAAAAAGCTGATATGTACGTACGTATGTATATATGTACATGCATGTGTGTGTGTACATGCTTACAGCATCACGAAAATAGACGACCGAGAGCTTAAGCTTGACCAATTGGTCACCAATAGTTCCCTGTGAAAGGATCGGAATCCCGATTTTCTTACAAATGCCCAACTCACAAAGACTTGGTACATTTTCCAGCACAAGCTTATAATCGGTACGCATCTCATAACACTCGAAAGATTCGATGTTCGGCATGTCTACAATCTTGATGAATTTGATCGTATAACACTGACGTATGGCCAAGTGCTTCAACTTTGGCGCTAAGTCGACACCGGTTATACATAAAGAACCTAAGGAGATGCTACTTTCAACCGAGAAACGCTCGAGCACGACAAAATTTTCAAGTATTAGCATAAATACCTCTTCATCCAAATCGATGGACTTTAGAGATAGGTCTTTCAGGAATTCGTTTCTGCATGGAATTAGATACCGAAAACGAATCCATGCACCGATGTAAATCGCGTGCAGGTGGATTATTGGGGCTTGTCTAGAGAACGCAAAGTCGATCCACCTCCGCATTCGCCCTGCTAGTTCCCGCCCGTAAAACGGTAAATTAACTCGGAATTCTTGTAAGAACCCACCTCCTTTGTGTGAATCCAAGGTGCGATTGATTACGCGAGCGTGCTTTTTCATGAATTCCCTTTTCGATACTCCATCGCAATCCGTTTTTGAGGTGAAAGAAAAATCGAGGCGGGTGGTGTAGTTGTGGAGGTAGCGCCATCGTTTGGATAGGATGCTGGTTGAGACGGCTTCGGTCACCGTCAGCCGTGAGATTATGGATATCAGAATATCGTCCGGCAACTGGCTGATCTTGTCGTCGCCGTCAACCACATTATTATTATTGTTATTATTGTTGTTATTATTATTATGGTCATAATTAACTGAAGTACTCATGAATGATTTGGGAAGTTGAGGAGCTGACGACTGTCGGGAGGGCTCGCCGGCGGCGGAGATAGGCAGTTTGGACTTGCCTTCTGACGCCGCAAGGGCAACCCAGGAAAGGCGAGGGAAGCTGTCGGATTGAAAAATACGACCTCCTCCTTGATTATTGGATGCCATCGCCGCCGCCGATCTATTTCGGTCGCCGGATATTTTTGCGGAATTTTGTTCACCGAATATTTCTTATATATATATACTTTGGAGCGGACTAGGGTTGTTAATAATTAGTGTTTATTTCAGATAACCCCACTAACTTACATAATGTGAGATAAGCCCAAGTCTTTTTTGATTTTTGAGTAAAACCCATTTATTTTAGGGTAAATTACTCGCACCCCGCGGAGGTCAGCTGAATCAACTGGATAGCCCCTGCGGCATCGATAATAACACGTATCACGCGTGTCATCTTCTTACTATTTCTGGTGGATTTTTTACGCTGCATCCTTAGTGAGATCCGGCACGTTCACACATAGCGGAACAAAATGCCCCTGGAACATGA